ACGGAACGTGACAAAGTTGGTTCCAGAATCGTTGAATTTTGAACAAAAACTGCTGCGAATGGACGTTGCTCAAGAATCACTAAAAAGTCAAAGACTATGGAGCATTACTGAAACGTATTGTGACAGATTACGAAACATAGGTTTGCGGATATCACGTCGAAATTTAGGCTCAAGCGTTCTAGTGGAGGTATCCTGGTTCGCCAAGACCGAAAAGGGGACGACAAGAGCGGTCAAACGTGAAGGTTATGCTCAATTCGTTTTTAATGGCATATCTTGTAAAAACTCCCGGATTTGTGGGAAAAGAGTTCATGGCTTTTGCACCACGATAATGCACTTGATGGCTTGGTCATTAATTTTCTGTCAAAACAATACTGTAAAGGTGCCCAAGCCTCCATATTTGCCAGAAATGCGTCCATGTGACTTTTTCCTATTTCTAAAAATAACGAGATTCTTAAAGGGCTGTCCCTTTACAAGCACAAATGACCATGCAAGCATAATATCTAATGGGGACTGTTTTGAAGGCTACTACATTACTGTAGACGAATAGATAAATATTTTGTTATTTTCTGATCACATTTCGTACGCGTCACTATCAACGTGAATTCCCCTAATGTTGAGCTTTCAATTACGACCTTGATTATAAACCTAAAGAGGTTTCTCAGACACTAAATTAATCGTTATCCAAAACAAACGAGGCATTTGTTTTTGTTTTTTTGAAAATATTCGAAAAGTACCCCTATTTAGGGGTAGAAATGAACCAAAAATCTAGTGACTGCGAAGCTTTCTGGGCTGATTTTTCATTCTGGCAACTGTGCAGATCAGGGATGAAAAGCCACTGGCCACTGTTTCTGTGGATACAGTTGACGCACTAGTACTTTTAATCGGTCGTATGGGCGCGTACCTTAAGAAATGATATTTAAATGATATTTAACTCGTATCGTGTTGCATTGAACTTTACAAAAGGTTTTGCTATATATCGTGAATTACCGCATGATGGTTCGTCGTCACCGTGAAGCATGAAATTATTATTTGATATTAATATCCACGATGATTTGATTTATAGACGAAACATAAACAAACAAGGAGCTAATGTCAGTACATGAAAGAGAATGATTAATGTTAATTACTTATTAACCATAAACATACGATTAATACGTAAAAGCGACTATTTATACATCAAATGAGTTTCGAGATAAAGGCAATTTCATCAAACATATGGTACCGCTTAGTTCAAAAAACAGGAGTCAAACCTTCTTATTCAAGAATCGACTGGCGCTTATTGAATAACTGCTGGGGAAGCTATTGGGTTGTCGGAAAAGTCATGACGCTTTTTTTTTGTTTATTTTAAGGCCATTTTATTCATATACAGCACAAACTTCAATCAATAATGTATTGCCCATTTTGATCGATGACCTTTCGCCATCTTTCAGGCAGCTTCATAATTCCTCGCTCGTAGAAGGATTTGTCTTTACCGGCAAAAAATTGAACAAGGTGCTGATGTACAGCTTCATCTGAAGTAAAGCGTATTTCTCGCAAGGAATTTTGAAGCGACCGAAACAAATGAAAATCAGATGGGGCAAGATCAGGCGAGTATGCTGGATGTGGTAACACATCCCATCCTAACTCCAATAACTTTTGACGAGTGAGCAAACTTATGTGCGGTCTCGCGTTGTCATGGTGGAACACAACTCCTTTGCGATTAATGAGCTCCGGACGTTTTTGCATGATGGATTGTTGCAAACTGTCCAATTGCCGACAATACACAGTTGTATCGATGGTTTGGTTCTTTGGCAGGAGTTCGAAAAACACGATCCCTTTAAAATCCCACCAAACAGAGAGCACCACCTTTTCCTGATGACTCTCTCCTTTCGCGATCGTGTTACGCGTATCTACACTTCGGGACCAAGACCGTTTGCGAACCACATTGTTGTAAACAATCCACTTTTCATCTCCCGTTATTAAGCGCTTTAAGAAAGGATCGTTTTCCTCACGTTTAAGGAGCATATCGCAGCTGTCTACACGCGCCGTCAAATGAACCTCTCTCAGTTCGTGTGGTACCCAACGATCGAGTTTGCTTACGTATCCCAGTTTCTTCAAATGGTCATGAACGGTTGAATGACGGATTTTTAAGGTTTCTGCAATTTCCCGTGTGGTGTAATGTGGGTTTGCTCCTACCAATGCCTTTAATTTGTCACTATCCAACTCAGTAGGCCGCCCTGATCGAGGTGCGTCATGGATATCAAAATCCCCATCTCGGAATTTTTTAAACCATCTCTGGCATTGCCGTTCTTGTAGTGCATGTTCTCCATAAACCTTTCTCAACTTTTCACACGCTTGTCTTGCGTTCTTGCCTTTGCGGAAGTAATACAGCAAAATGTGACGAAAATGCACAGTTTGGTCGTCCATCTTCAACGTCCTCTAAAATCGACGAGACTCAAATAAATCACTTAATTTTTTGGTGCAAATGAAGCTTGAAGTGTCAACTGTCAAACTACACAATCAACATACAAATGTCATTGACTCACGTACTTCCAACCATGCAATTGCATACTTTGTTGCATATACGTCATGACTTTTCCGACAACCCAATAAAACGTTAGCAATTTTACACCATATACAAAGATAGCACAAACATGATCTTGAGAGACAATCTTCTGCAAAATGCAGAAAATACATCTCGCTAACTAATCGCTAAATAATTTCGTAGGTATTCTAGAGGAAGCGAACTAAATGCTATCTGTCTATGCCTAGATCACAGTCTCACTCCATCTATTGGTTAAGATCCTCACAATTCATTGCAGACTGAATATACCCTAAAATGCTGGGAAGGCCATGCAACATACTTGCACTCACTAGGCAGGTATGTCCTATAGTATAAAAACCTTAGAGGTACGAGAGCCTATCAGGAATGACCACCCAGTATGATTGACATGCCACAGGTTGCTGCGATGAGATATCCTAAACCACATCCGCTGGTGAGTATGCATAATCAGCAGAAGTGGAGTTGGTTATAAAAATGGCGTCAAGTAGGTTGACTCGTGCGTGGTCCGTGTATATGTATAAGTTTTTGTGCTGTAGTACGGATAGGTTAGTCAGCCGGAACCATTCACCAGGAGATAAGCTTAAATAGCAGCAGCACGCGGATCTGACACGGGGCGATATTCCGGCTCTGGGGTAATCCCCCTTGGAAATCCCTGTTTCCATTCTGCCCTATGCGAAGACAAGGTGTGGAATGATTGAAGTTGATAGAGAAATAATCTAGGAACTAGGTTGGTCAGACGTTGTTACTTTCAATGGAAGACCGTATCTCTCTCTATATACTTGGTGTGACTAACATTTAACTCTGAGGAATCCCTATCTCGACTGATTAGTCCTCTAATACAGAATACAAAAGTTCAGATTCACAAATTCTGCAAATTCCGAACCACCTAACCCTATCGCGATGGCTTTGTTGCCGTGGCAGTTTTATCACGTCAGCATACAGTTACGAAGCTGCGTATCACTCACGCCACACTGGCTCCATTCTACCAGCTCTCTCTCTCTCAATAATTTATAATAAATTCAATGCCAGGGGATTATAACCTGCCATGTGGGATACACACGCGGATACGAACACACGCAGTGATGGGATCGATTCCTGGATTCAAGCCATGTCAATATTGGACGATAGACATGTACTGTTTATACTATTTCGTGTATAGAGTGTAGCAGTATTTACAGTTAGTGCAAAAATGATACTTTTACAATATGAAGAAAACAGGTCGTTTTTGAATTTCAACGTATCCATCAGATGCTACGATGAACACGACCTTGACACACAAAGGTCGCCACAGTTATAGGGGGTTCATACCAGGGAGAAACACCAGGAGTATAACATCTCGTTCGCTCAATAAGACATTGTTACTCTGATTCGCTGTAGGTATCTTCAATGACATATGGTGACGTTACCCAAACATTACACAAACATACTTATTGCTTGGCCCACAACAGCATATATATACTTTGAAAATAAATAGTGATTAAGATGCGATATATAATTATTCACAGTGCAAAGCTCTACAATTAAACAATTTTGAAAATTCATTATACATTCCTGTCTAGATCAAAGTAATGCCAAACACTAGCAAAAGTCCAAAATCACTGTTGTGGCATTAATAATAATATTGAACGTTAATCATTTATTCAAGTATTTATTACAATCTGCAATACATAAAATAAAAAAAAGATCGTAGTGGGTATTACTATTTTAGCATTTAGTCAAAGAATAGCAGTTGATAAACTTCGCCCTTTTATAACTCAGTTATAGATAAAGACGTTTATCGTACGTTTAACTGTTAAAAAAATTCTCATAATATTTCTCTTAAGAACATCAGTGATATGTGATTTAGGAGAATGGAACCTCCTCAGCAACGAGGGCTCTAATCATTTTATAAATAGCCATTACACTTTCAATTAAAAACCCAGTGACTCAGGTCATATCTGATTTCATTGCAATGACAAATATCTGTATCCGATGGACCGGTCCTTTCCAACTAAGATTTGTTTCTTTTTCTGAATGGTTGACTTCGTCTAGCGAGTTTTGTAGAAGGCAAGGAGGGATCCATTTGATTGATACATTGATTGTTACTGCAAAAATGGTTCTATACTTGTTTCCAATGTTCTATCAAAATCGCCTTCCTAGTTGAGGTAATGTCTTTACGGTTAAAGTTTGGTATGTCCATACCGCATAGACTCAACTTATCAACGATTTTATTTCTTCCAGTGCAGAATCTTTTATTGTTCGAAGTTGTTACTTTAGAGCGGTCTATGTGTAGCTTAATGACTTCCATGAGAAATGAAGAGTAGCATTAGAACTTAAAAACTTAATTTGACATTCCGAACGACTTCACATACCTACTTTTCCTGTACCGCAGCATATCTTCGCCGCTTCGGTGGTAGGTATAAAGTTCTCCGAGTTCCGAATGGCCGGTGGTTCTTCTTCATTTACATTTTTATTACAGATCCGACGACGAGTGTACATTAAGTCGGGAGCTAAACAAAAGACTTTATGTACGGAACAAAAGACGGCATCAGTGGACGGTAATTTTAATTCGGAGGTAAAAATTTACACAGAGGAGGTATTGTTATGGTCTCTCACCGCTTGAAAACAGCGTAAATTAGGCATCCCGGTAAAGAACAGAAGGAATGAGAAGGCGCAGATTATCCACTTTGTCTAAACTAAATACATCACAAATGACTGAAAACTTAATGTGTCTATGTACATTTATTTCCGTGATCGTTGATTGGTGGCTTCGAAAAAAGAGGAAATTCGTTTTGCCAAGAGTGTTCACTTTGCCCAATTAAACTGAGGCTCCCTGAAAGTGTAAGTTGTAAATACATATTAACATTGAGAAACGATTTCGTCTGTGCAAAACTAAACGTAGTCCTCATTTCAGCCTTACGTCAGTACAACGTATTTCTCAGGTAGACAGATCAAGTCAAATGGTTACATCAAATGAGCAAATCCGTATTTGGGCACTGTTATTGGCTAAATGTAAGGAATATATGTATAAGATAGTTGGGGTTTTCCTTTACACGACGTGTAGATCTTGAAAACATAAGCAATTTTTCTTAGTACCATATACACCAATGTCTTAAAGGAACCGAGATAAAGGGCTCTGCAACATCAAAAATATCTGAATACCGTCCTGTAGCCGCGACATCCCCGACTGGTACTAGAACACTAGCTCAACCCGACGACAGAACTGGGTCGGGGTCAGTGTGTCAGGTCAGTATGCAACCTTCAACCGACGGTTACGGTCACGCGTCTAGAGGTAATCGCGTAGACGAGAATCCCTCAACAAGCACTAGAGACGTGGCTAGAGAAGTGCAAGTATCAAAAACTAAAGTGTGGCAAACGCTGCGTGAAGAGGGGCTGTATCCGTTTCACGTCCAACGTGCACAAGCCCTTCAACTTGACGATTTTCCAGCAAGAGTGCGGTTTTGTGAGTGGTTGTTGCATCAACATGACAATAATCCGGACTTTTTGAAGTGCATATTGGTGACAGACGAATCTACGTTCACGCGTAATGGGGTGAATGACTTTCGCAACACTCATGTTTGGTCAGTAGAAAATCCGCACGCTGTCCGTAGGGCACATTTTCAACAAACATTTTCGGTGAATGTTTGGGCTGGCATGGTGAACGGTATGCTCATTGGACCATTTATTCTCCCAAATCGATTGGACGGGATGCAATACCTAGACTTTTTACGCAACATTTTGCCTTCCTTGTTTGCCTGCGTCTGCTCGGTAGCGCATCAGCTGATTTCATTTTCTGTTGGAGCGGTATGATTTCGGGCAGATACGTACTTAGCCCTTCTCGTCAACTGGAGAGTGAGTACTTTTTCCTTTATTTTTTTTACTGCGTCGCTTTCGTTTCACTACACATTACCTTTGTTATTTCAAGGGTAGTTGTTTCTGAAAAGGAAAACCCCAACTTTGCAGACACCCTGTAGATATGAGTAAATCGGACTTTATCCAAAGTCATCGATACGACTACCCTTTGATCGATAATCAGCTAGAGCTTATACATAGGAATATATTATCAAGCGGTTATAAATGGGAAAATTGGCAGCACCGTGTTATTACAAAAGTTTCAGAAAATAAAAAAAAAACTTGATGGATATCCTCAAGTATGACCTAGACGTAAGACGTCCACTTTGTCCACTGAACTTCATGTATGTAAATTCATACCTATCTAGATAATAAATACTAGAGGTCACTACTAGGCCATAGGCGTCAGCAATGAATTCCTTTTTGTTCTCCTGAAACTTTTTCCGAAAAGAATGTGTGGCTGCAAAGTTTCCTAGGAGTTCGGATATTTAATATATTGAATATTGTATACAGGGTATTTCAGAACTATGGGATCAAACTTGTAGGGGTTATTCAGTGTAACAGTAGAAAACGTTTGAGTATAGGGACCCAAATCATTCAAAAAGGGTATCAAATTTTTAGTCATGTCCGCGGAGGAGGATATTTTTAACAATTGCAGTGATGATATCATGTACAAAAGGCAAAAACTAAATGCATTAAATCCTATTTAGGCAATTCGTCGTCTTTCTAAATTTTAACGCGTCTCACCTTTCCGGATATGGGTCCCTATACTCAAATGTTTTCTACTGTTACACTGAATAACTCCTAGAAGTTTGATCCCATAGTTCTGAAACACTCTATATAAATGTTGTTCTGCTGTCAAAATGGTGGTTGCTACTTAAATTTACGCAGGTGACGTGCAAATTATCCATGCGGTAATTATCTAGGTCATCTAGAGGTCATCAAAGGACTGTGTCTTTGATCTCTTTAAACTTGTTGTAAACTGAAGGAATTTTTTTCGTAATCATGCGTCGTTGCAAAGTTTCCACAGAAGTCGTGTACTTTTCAGACGTTATAGCCTGACACTTGCTTGACCACTTGTGACACATGAAAACTGATTTCTATGTGGTAGAATCTTGCGATGATTGAAAAAATTACCTAACCTACTATTAATTACCTTTTTTCACAAAAATGCGTAGTTGCCTATTTTCAGTATTCAGTATATTGAATTCTATTGTTTCTGTTGTGCAAGTGTAAAAGTTAATAGTTTGTATCAATAGAAGCGTAATAAAAGACGTTTACTCTTATTTTCCGATTTTATGTGCGCAAGCAGCAAAGGCAGCAACTGCCGTACCTAGCAAAGCGCACCAATTCCCTTGAAATGTATCCGATTCATCCGAATGCCCAATCCAATTTCCAGCGAACTTTGTTCTCAAAATGAAAAACAAACATCCACTTGCCGCCGTCGTTTAAAAGGGACTTTTAAAAAATTCAATTGTCTGCAAATTTGTTTAGGAGTTAATAGAATATTTAACAAGTTACTCGTCGGCTCTACCTTTGCTCGCAGGTGCGTTATTTGGGGTTGGATGGAAACTGCATAATGCCTCGGTGTGGCAGGCAGTCACCGTGCATCAATAATGCTGACTGGTGAATGGTATCAGGTCGATTTGGTCTTTTTCTGGCAGTCTGACTTTTCGTAAACGATATTTCTACTTGATAAAATCTGTAACACGAGAAAAAAGGTATCAAATGGTACTCTAAGATGAGTGGATAAGACACAGGAGCCTGACAAATGTCAAATTGCTAGATAATAGCTTCTTCCACTGACACCACTCATGCCTTGTTTCTTATTTGATTGTTTACTGAGCACAAGTTAACTAGCCAGAAATGAAGCCCGGATTCATGGAATGAAATATTAAGGCCTCATCTTAAAGAATATAGACAGTTTATGCAATAGCAATAAGTATCTTATACTTGACCGTTAAATTGAACCTTAAGATCATAAATAGCCAATGGGTTATAGGTTATCGGTTATCTATACGATCTCTAATGAATTTTAACATTTGTTACGCGTGAATCGTTAGTGTCAATTTCAAAATAATGTTTATGTTCACGTCTACCAATGCTTCAAGAATCACGTCTGTTGTTATGTTAACTAGACAACTGGAAGAGTAAGGCACCGGCATTATTTGCGGGCATGTATTCATGTATACTAAGTGACATATAAATCCGAACACCCAGTTTAAATGGTTTTATTTTAATAAAAGTTGGTGAATGTATTTATCTTACTGTACATAATAAGTGAAAAAATTTTCAGCCTTATCAGTTGGACATTCCGGTTTTTATACTGCTTTTTTTTAATTCACTAACGCTCTAAAAATGAATATTTCAGCCGCAGTAAAGAATCAACGTTGGCGGATTTTGGTTCTTGACATCCTTTACGATCGGTTACGATGCCTAGAGTACGGAGACCTGTACGATTTCGTCAACTTAGTGAGTTTGATAGGGGCCGTATAGTGGGACTTCGGGAAGCTGGACTTTCTTTTCGAGCAATTGCAGTTAGAGTGCAAAGAAATGTAGACACTGTGGTTAGGTGTTGTCAGGCATGGCTTCGAGAATGCCGTACGCAAAGAGCAAGGGGCACTGGACGCCGCCGTAGAACAACAGACTGTGAAGATCGCCGCCTAAGATTATTGGCCTTAAGGGACCGCTTCTCCACTACCAGGTCCATTGCAAATGAATGGTTTGCAGAACACGGAAGACCTATTGGCATGCGAAGTGTTTACCGACGAATGAGAAGTTTTGGCTTGTTTTCACACCGGCCACACTGGGTCCTCCCTTTAACTCGAGAACACCGACGTAATCGCCTTGAGTGGTGCAGACAACGGTCACTCTGGGATCAGGAATGAAACAGTATTGTCTTTAGTGACGAGTCTCGATTTTGTTTAGGCATGCACGATGGTCGTGCCAGGGTTAGAAGGCGACGTGGTGAAAGGAGGAATCCACAGTTTTTTGTTTAAAGACATGTTCATCACACTGTTGGAGTTATGGTTTGGGGTGCTATGGCTTATGGTTCCAGGTCACCTTTAATCTTCATCAGAGGTAACATGAACGCGCAGCGTTATATCCACGAAGTTCTAGAACCCCGTCTTTTACCGTATCTTGACCCCCTGGCAGATCCAACTTTCCAACAAGATAATGCCCGACCACATGTTGCAAGAGTCACAATAGACTTCTTTCAACATAATGATGTCACATTGTTACCATGGCCACCAATATCTCCCGACTTATCCCAAATTGAGCACGTGTGGGATATGATGGGTAGGAGATTGCTCAATTTGCAACGTCCTCCTCAGGCTCTAGAAGCACTTCGAGAGGAGTTGGTGGTTGCCTGGAATGAGATACCACAGGAGGACATTGACCACCTGATCAGAAACATGCCTAGGCGCGTTGGAGAATACGTAGCACATCAGGGTGCATCCACACATTATTAAAGGTCAAAGGGCTTTAAAGCAGTGCAATCATTTTGAAATTTTTATCATTTACTTATTATGCTTCATTAAGTACTCATACAAAATTTTATTAAAATAGAACCATTTAAACTGGGTGTTCGGATTTATATGTCACTTAGTATATTTAGTGTGGACTTCCCATCTGCTACCTTTACAATAGTGACGTGAAATCAATCTTTGCGAACGCAAAAAACTAGAAGATGGCACTGGCACCG